GCAGAAGCAGAACCTTACTTAAAGCAGTGCTGTCTTTATTCTGCTTAAGTATCCCTCTGTTAATTTCATTTAAATAACTCATTTAAATCTTGAGGAAAAACCTAAAATCAATGAATAGTTCTTACTGACTTCAGTGAAGGCAAGATTTCATCATCTCTCTGCAAATTGTTGTAACTGTGTACTGCTTATTACTTGTTTTTCTTCTCTGATGGCTTCCTCCCTACCCATTTTTGTGGGTCTAGTGTTGCAGCACCTGAAGATAGAAAGGGTTTTAAGATTCAAAGATCTTGATCTGCATGATAAAAATATTTTGTCATGTGCAATTTAATTCAGTGTTGGCAGTTCTCATTATTCTGATTACTTTTTTTCCTCTTGGTTCTCAGCTTTTAGGATCACCGTATTTTATATGAAAATCTGAAGTTTTCATATGCAAAAAGCAAATTTCTAGTTCTCATGTTTCCAGAAGCTCGGAAGCATAAATTTTCAGTACTGACTTCCAAATAAATGAGTCAAATAAGAAAGAAACCCCCAAACCATACTTCCAAGCCCCACGCCCCACCCCAATCTCCAAACAAACAAAAAACCCCAACCAAACCCCTTGTTTCTCAGTGACTCATAATTTTTGAACTTTTGAGATTATTACTAAAAATGAGTGTGATTTATGTTTTAGCTCTTCTTCTGGGGGGGGTTATGTTGGTTTGTTTGTGTTTCAAATTGCTCTCCTGAAGTCAAAGGCAGAATGTGGTCCTACAGAACATTGCCCTCTGAAATGAGATTTGTTAGCATTTATTGTGTGCAAAATTCATGTCTGGGCAGATGGTTTTCACAGGTGTCTGCACCATTTTCATCTCTAATTAAATAAAGCTTTGCACAAGGATGACTTTCACACCATAAGAATGTGTGTGAAATGCAATTAATATTCTGAAGCTTGCATTTTTGTGATAGTTGATCTCATACAGGTAGGGCTAATGAAGATATGAGAGTGTTTACAGTAAAAGGTGAGAAAACTCATTTCCAGAGTGAGGATGTGGCCAATCAAACCTGAATGGAGTTGCTTCATGTGCTGAAATTGGGTGAGTTTAAAAGTATGTAAAGATTTTGAAATTCTTTGGAAGGTCATTTCAGAGACTAACTTTCAGTCACCAGCAGAGATGGTAGAAGAACTCTGGTTTTTGAGATGTGGTAATACCCAAAGGTACTTTAACATCAGGGGCTTTATTAATTTCCTCGGCAGTATGGTATAAAATTGCCATCCTCTTTTGCTTTCCATTCCGTGTTCTATGTGAGTAGCTCTCAGTGCAAATGTTGGGGTTGGTCAAGGTCACCAGCATGTGTGCGCTGTTTTATTAACAACAACAAAAAAAAGGTGTTTCATAGGCTCGATACCTCATCAGTAGTTCTAGCCCAGTGACCAAACTAGCACAGGAGTTATCTGAGCTAGTGACATTTCCTTATAGTGACTGGTAATAAATTCAGAAAGACAAATTGTCAGGATATTAAAAATGAGTCTTCACTCTATGCATTTCTGAAAAGCAGTAGGTTATGAAAGAGTTTGATTCTGCTTGTCAGTGAACACAGGATCTGTAGGTCTGAGTAGTCACGACTCCCTGGCTTGCTTTTCAGACTTCTATCCCTTTAGATTTTCATGAGCAAATGATGTTTGCTGCATAATTGTCATAGTCTTTCAGGAATGTGGCTTTTTTCTTAGTAGTGGCTGAAAGATCCTTTTGTACTAATTGCCCAGTACTGACTTGACTAGATGTGTTAACAATATTTATATATTCTGAATTCTACATACGTGACAATTAAACTTTCTTTTCAGTGTATTTACCTGAAGTCTTTCTTTAAACAGCTATCAGCCCGTAAGCCCTGTTATTATATCTAAAAATATGCTATCTACCTGGTGCTGAAATTCAGAGTGTATTTTGCTTTGAACAATATTCTCTTTGCCTTCAATATATATCTGCTTGGCTTACTTTTTCAAGGTGTGTTTAAAGACTTTTTTTCCCCAAAGTGAAGAACCTCAACAAAAATTATTTTAATGAGATAGACATTTAGTTCAACAAAAGAAGTTTCTTCACGAGAAAAATAAATTAAAAGAATAATTGTGCTTTTAGAAGACAATTAATTAAAAACTCTTGGTGTGGTGACAAATTTAACATCTTGTCTGACATGTTGAGAAGAAGAAAGTGCCTGGAATTGCACAAGTAGAATAAAATGTTCCATTTCACAGCAAGGCCAAGCCTGAGTCTTGTAATTATTTCAAAGGGAGTAAAGGTCATTTTCTATTTGCTACATCTGTATTATGTGAGCCTTCTGTACCAGGCTTACAGAAGTTAACTCGTGACCTATTTAGATTGCCCAGATTTCAAAGTCAACTTACACTGTCGCAAATCTGATAAAGTAGACATATTCCCTTCTTTAAGTACTGACATAGATGATGTTCAAAGCAGGCTTTTTATTTATAGCTCTAAGACAAGAGCTTCAACTTTAAGATGCCAGCAGCTGGGATAGCAGAACATGATTTACCTCTTACTTGCTGTGTTAATCCTTTAAGGGAAAGACTTGTTTGTAGTTAAATTTACAGCATATATTGCTTGGGCTATTTTTCAGGTGTAGACTTGTTATATAACCTTGCTTCAGTTGTTGCATGTTGAGATCAGAAGAATTTTCCTTCTGCTGTGATTGCATTTTTATGCATATTAATTCAGTAACACCATGAGTCAGAAAAACAGGTACTTTAAAAATGCACCTGTGCACACTGAAAATGTGTGCAGAAAATGCATGTGTGTCTTTCTGTGCATGTGACCATTTAAATGCATGTAAGGCTCCGTTTATAATCGGTAATCAAGTTTTATGCACAGTTTTGAGGGCAGGCTCTGGGTATGTCGGTTCATGTTTGCAGATGTCTCATACTAGAAGACTGAAGGGAACATGTCCAATTCTCAACCCCTATAGAGTCCAGAATCTCCAATAAAATCAATATATCAATAATCGAATGAGGGATTAGGCACTGTGTTTTTAAGCTTTTGTAAGAAAGGCAGCAGTTATGTCAATATATAGAAGTGAAGAGTAGTCAAGTGTATTGCGCCTTGCTTGGCGTATTACTTGAAGCCTTTCTCTCTTGTTTGTCCTTTTGAAGGGTTAACCATCGAGCAGGTCAGAATGGAAGGCAAAGGTGTCCATCTGCTGCATTTGACTACCACCACCTTAATTGTCATGAAATACTCTAGCTGTTTCTCACAGCCTGCTGGCACTTCTAGCCAAGCTTTTATAGCAAATGTCAGTGACATGAAACAAATGATCCAGCAGTTGGCTTCAATAAGAACTAGTGCAGACCAGGTGGGATATTGCTGCCTTTGGTTTTTATAAATGGGATCACATAAAATTTATAGTGAGTGTGAAGTGCATGAAGGAAGAGAGCAGATAATGTATTGCACTGATTTAGCGAATGGCCTGTAAGTGGTGGTTGAGAGGGAAACATGCGGATGTTAAAATTTTGCAGGACATCTCTCTAGGATCAGGATTGGCATACCTAGGTGATAATGTGGTGGAGGTAGAACTGAGAGATGTGAGATCGTGCTGTTGGGTTGGAGAAGTAAGAGTGCAGTTTGTTACCTGAGCTGGTGAAGGAGAAAGGAGCCCTTGGTGTTCACCTGTGTGGTATAGGGCAGAAATTGTCTTCACTTTACAGCTAAGAGCTTTATTTGTAAAATTGTAACCATGTGTTGAGGATGCCTTGAGTAAATAGACCCATTTTTGCAGGACCACTTAACTTTTACAGCATTGGTCATTCAGAACCACTGTGTTTGACCATCTTCTTGGTCACTATGTGTGCCCTGTCTATTTGATTTTTTTTTTTCTTTGGCAGTCCAACAAACAGCAGATTGGCCATAGTAACTTTGAGATAAGAGTACTCTGTACACTAGCTGAAAACCAGGTTTTGAAAAACACCTTTGGAGGTTCTGAAGCAGAAGATACTTTTGAAAATGTGGTTACATGTATATAGGTTGAAAAATACAGATTTGGCTTTTCCTACTCTTGAACTTGCCTCCTGTTGTCTCACTTTAACCGCTCTTTAAGCTTTTAAACTTTTTAGCCTTTTTTTTTTCTTGCTGCCTCTTTCTTGGACATTCTTACCCCCATGCTCTCATTTAAAAGCTGCCAAGAAAAATAGCCTTTCAGGCTGTTGTCTCTATTCAGGGATAGAACACAAACATTCAGAGACTGAGATTAGCATTGTACCTATTTCAAGTCAATTTTATTTTGCTTTTAAGCTTCCTCCTTTGCTAAGGTGTTCCTGTGGTGACAGGGAACTTTGGTGACATAAACTGTATTCAACTTTAACCTTCAGATCCACCTCCACTATGATGCACACATTTCATTTTCAGTCTTCCCCTGGTGTAAATAAGCTTTTGGTTACAGGGAAAACGGACAAACTGTGGCTTGAGGGGGGCAGGGGAGAAGGCAACAGTTTGCATTTGTTTGCAAAGAAGTTCTTTTATAAAGGAAACATCTGTGATGTGACACTTCGCCCTTGAATAAAGAATTCCTTCTGTAACTTGGTGATCAACTTTGTGAAACTAGGTTTGCAGACCCTAATTTATCAATTATTTAAATCACCTTAAAAGTGCTTAATTTAAGCATGTATTTAAGCCTAGCTGTATTCACCTGTGATTTTTAGGAGCAACATTACATCCTATGTTTTCATGAAGACCAATAATATCCTTTATTGACAATCTGAACTGAACTTAACCCTGAAAGCTACTATTTTGTAACTTCTATGCTAGCCCACATACATAAAAGCAAAAACCTTACATAAAAAATTGTTTAGCAAGATTTGAAGGAGAAGCGTGATGTGATGGATATTTTTGTTTTATGAGCATGGATCCCAATGTTTTGTTTTATGAGCGCTGACCCTAAACCCAGTATCATTCCTAGAAGCCAACATGATGGATGAATGAGTGGATGTTAAAAGTCCATTTCCCTTTTTTCCTCAGGTTCTGCTGCTCGCATGTGCGGAAGATTTAGAATGTGTCCCTGGATTCCAGCAAAAGGTTTTTTATATTGAACAGCCATTTGAATTCACAGAGGACCAACCAGTTCTGAAACGTATGTTATTTTCATATATTACTATTGTGCAAAAATCAGAATTGCTTATGTATTCATACCACTCCTGCCATTTATCAGAAAGCTTTTTTTTTTTTGTACATAGGATTTGAAATATTGCCATGATTCTGTCTGGGTTCCCCTGTATTAATCCTCTATCTCTAGCGGCTTTACTCTGTTCCATGTATTAGAGATGGCAAAATACTATATATAATCATTTAGGACAAAATTAATATTGTGAAAACTTAGAATCATCCACTTTTTTTAAGAAGAAAATTTACTTTGAGTTTTTTTTTATAGTCTTTCCTATAATCTTGGAAATCAGGGCTTGCCTATCAACTTTTCGCTATTAATTCATCTCTACAACTCAGATTTAGAAGTTTATATCTTAGAAGTTCATTCAGAGCAGGTGCAAGTCCAAGTCTTCACATGAAATTCAGAGGAGGCTGGAAGAAGCTTGTGATCATCAGTGGTAGCAAATTGTTACAGTTGTGTGTTGTACAACTGGGATATTTGGTAATATTTCCAATGACCAGGTCTCACGTTATAAAATCCAGTCTGGTACTGCATATTCAAAGCATTAAGCTGAAGGAGATTTAACTGTTTTAGAGTCCTGGTGTTAGTTCATTCAAATACTTTAGTGAGCAAGTCTTACAACTTGTTCGCTCAGTTCTGTGGCTTTGGGACTTCAAGACTGTCAAACTAAGGTAGTACCTTATCCAGTGGTCAATGATTTTGAAGGCTCAAAAAAGATATTAAGTGCTGCCATTTTCATAACTTCCAAACACACCAGCAATTTACTTGTGATACATATTACTAGTTTCTTTGTTGCTTGCTGCTGAACCTAGGAGTTCTCCTAGGTACGCAGCATGAGACAGTAGTGCTTGGCATCTATGTATGATATCTAGATCCTACAATGTGATATATAGTGACAGTTTGGTGAAACCAAGAAATGCAAAGCAATATTACTCATTAAATGCACACATTTCTGTTCTCAGTTCCCTCCAGATATTACTACTACATGTGATGTATTTTCACTGTTATGCATGTTTGGATGAAGGTATAATCTGTGCACACTTGTTTTAAAATAGCGCTAACTTTTCAAAATGAAATGTCAGAATTAGTTGCCGGAATCTATTGAAATGACTCTCTTAAACTTAAGTCATTCAGGGTGCTAAAATAAACCCGTAGGATAACATTTTTAATCTAAGTGTTTTGGTAAGTTACTTAGTCCGAGTTGTATTTTCAGAAGAAATTTAGATAATAAGTAGTAGTGCTATTCACAGAGATGTGAGATCATTATTCAGTTTGGAAGACAGATTTCAAACTTCTGATTTCTTTAGGCAATTTAGTTTTCCTTGAAATTCTTACTTTAAAGTTGACGAACACATCATTCCTAGATGGTTAAAAGTAGAAATTCTTAGGATATAGGAAGTATAATAGATTAATAGATTTAATAAGCATACGAAGTTGAAGATCTATGTAAAGAAAAGCAATATTAACAAGTTAGTGTTAAGTTGAATAAAAATAACCTTTTTTGTATTCTTTGGCTGCTTTGCAACTTTGAGACTGTAGTGTGTCTGGCCAGATCTCCTGCTGATTTGTGCTTGTTCTCCCAAATACCTAAAGGATGAGTTGGTTAAGCCAAAGTTGACAGGACTGCTCTGTGGTGACCCAGCAAATTGCACTGGTATGAAACTAGCACAATAATTAAGACAACATCATTAGTATGAGGAGGAGGGAAGAGCAGCAGGAGACTTAGAAATGCCTGGAAACAATCTTCGGAATTAAATTATTTTAATAAGCAGACACTAAATTGGCCTAATATGTAATGTTCGACAAAGGCAGACTGTCGATGCATGATTCTAGTTAATTCAATCACTCGTAAATGGTATGTCCTTCATGCAGCAGCTTTAAACCTCTGCACAGTTTCTTCATTTTAGCTGTCAACAGAATTGATATTTTTAATTGTCTGTTTGAATACACTTTGCATGCTGTTGCATCTTTTTATACCCATTACCCAAGAGTGGTGTAATTTAGCAGTTGCATTGCAACGTGAGGCTTACTAGGGCTATGTAAATTAATAGACCGAATATGCAAAGCAGGCCTATAGCAGTGATTGTTTTTGTAGTCCTCGATAAGCCAAGGAGCTCCTTAATTCTTAAGTGCAATAAAACAGTCTTTTTCTTTTTTTATTTTTCAATTTAAACAAGGACCTACTGTACATTTCATTGCTAGTATCTCCCTTGTAATTAAATATAGGTTATGGCTGGTTCTTATGTATTTATTGCTTCTACATATGGCAATGTTAATTATATTTTACATTTACTGAGAGGAAGAAGGAGGAGCAGCCTAAACTGAGGGTACAGAATTTTATCTTGCTTCTGATTTGTACCAATTCTTATAAGTTGGCCGTAACGATTACATCAGTCCAGTTGTGTATGCATACCTTCCTTCCTGCTAGTTTCACTGGAATCCTGTTGCTATTTCTTAGCTTTTATCTCATTGTGCTTAGGCTGAACTCCTTTTCTTATTTACTATTGCATCTCACTAAACAGCAACCTCCAGATGTGGACCATTTTATTTTCCGAACTTTGTAATTTATTTTTCCTAATTTTGACTTTCTTTTTTTCTCATCAGACCCTTTTATCTCCTTCTGTTTTCTGTGACCACAAACAAAATCAGGCATTGCTCTCCTACTTTTTGTCTGCCCAGTTCTTTTCTCTGAGTGCAGTTTTCTTAAACCAGATGTTCCCTTAAGGAAGTGGGAGAGGATTCATAGAGTCACTTTCTGGAATTACTGGAGGGTCTGTCCACATAATTGTTTTAACAAGCAATTGTGTTACTGGATTCTTCTTCCTTATAGCTTTTTTTAGTTTAGACCTAGGACTATCTTCTGCAATCAAATAGAGAAGATCATAAAGATTGCTACATTCTTGGTAAAGTGATAATTGGCAGTGTTTAATTACAGGTTTTACACCTTTCTGGAACATTTGTGGCCATGAAATGCTTCCCTATCAGAATGCTTGTCTTTGGCAATGCTGACAGGTCACTGGTAGTGATAATGTTCCAACACGCTAAGCTGATAGAAAGTTCCTAATCAGACTCATCAAACGTGGAAATGTAATTGTGTTACATTAATCATGTTTATACTTAACATACATGAGTCTTGGCTTTTGGGGGTATTTTTAATTGTCAATGAATCAAATAGTGCACTTGAAAAATTGAGGCAATTAACATAAAGGCGTTAGGTGATGCGTTGTGCATACTAAACTGGGGAATGCATTGCCAGTGATTTAAATGTCAAAACAAAGGAAGTTTTGACCCTTACTTGAAAAGCTTTAATTTGGATGTTAATTAATGGCTGACCTCTTCTGTCTCTTACATGATCGATTGCATGTTTCAGAGCTTGGGCTGCTTCAAGATCAGGGCTTTGTCCGCATTTGGGTACTTTTTTTTTATTCTGTGGATTTTAACAAAGACTACTCTGTTCAACTATATTGAAAATCTTTGTTTACTCATATGATGGGAAATATATTAGTCTGCTTATCATTAATGCTTAAAGGCAGTTCTTCTGTTGTTAGCAAAGCCATAGCTTCCAACAAGATTTCCTTTGTTCAAACTGAATAAAGCCTGTGGAAAGATCAGAGAACACTATTCCTACTACTACAGTATCATGTGTGTACATGGATCACAGTGCCAATCACGCTCACATCAAAACATTTCCTATTGATTCTGAAATGATGCCATGTGAGATTTGTGACTTATCACATCCATTCTTCCCACTGATTACCATGCCATTTGACTGTACAGATGGCCTCTTTCTGTGACTTCTTCATGCTATCAACATTACTGCTCTTACTCTCTTCATTATTCTGATCCATACAGTGTGTGTTATCAGACAAACTTGATTCATCTCCCCCTGCTTCACTTTTTCTGCAGCTTGCATAGAGCCAACGTGGCAGCCTAATTCAAAACACTATAATATGCCAAACCTTCTACAGAGTTTATAACATGAGGTTTATATGCTAGTGTTGACTTTTCATGCTGAATATTGCAGATTTTACATAATTGGAACTACACGTGGTAGTTGTAGCTTGCAAAGTGAGATAAGATTTTTGGCTTAGTAATTTCTTGCAGGGGAAACTGTCTAGACTTTTGGGTAATAGCTAGATAACTATGGATTTTTTTTTTCCGCCTATTCAGGTATACATATATGTAGCGCATCTTGTTGAAACTTAGTTGTGGCTTTTCAAAATAAAAAGTCTTTAATGCATTTTGATTTCTACAAACATCTTAAAACTACTTTTATTTCACATAAATCACTCGCTATGTTAAGAAATGTAGTCCTTTAGAAAATGTTGAAAAATTACTTGGTTCCTGTATTTGGCATGTGGTAGCAGGTTCTACAGTAATGCATCTCAACTTTTCTACCCAGATAGCGGAATGCTTTTTATTCTCTAAAATATATCTTAATGTGCATGTACCCACGTATAGAACTTGTATACCAGAGCTTCACTTCTGACGCTTGGATACATGATTAAGACCGGGTATCTGGGACTCTGTTATGCCATGTGAACAGAAATATCGGTCAGGATTTGATGCCAGATGTTAGGGACATCTCTTAATCACACTATATTCCTATTTAAATGGCTGTAGGAAGGCAAACTCTTGTTACTAAAATTCCAGGAAATATCTGGGGGTGTGCAAAATGGTTGCAACACTGTGGAAGTAATTTTTGAAGTGGGGAACTTTACAATGTTTTCATAGAGGCAGAGCGAGGAGGAGCTTCAAAGAGAAGATCCTTTTGCACTTAAATACGTAAGGCACTGCTTTTCAATTGAAGCTTGATGCCTAACTCTTACACAGAGGAAGAAAGTTGTATGTGTATGTATTGCAATTAAGCAATATAGAACATCTCAGATGTGTCTCTGAATAGGTGTATGCAGTTTGATGTTGTAACACAACAGAATATCATATCATATATATCATCTGTTAAATTG